GAAATTTCCCTTTGGAGGCAGGAGGTTCCTAGCTCGTGAGTTTGGGGGGAGAGAATTAGTGTAGGAAATGTAGTGTAGGAGGCAACATAGAAAGAGGGGAGGAGGCATCTGAGAGAGGAGGAGGTGGAAGGGCTGTAGTTGGCTGAGCAGAAAGGCTGCAGAGGGAAATTCAACAGGATACCGGGTCTCAGATGCTGACAGGGGGGCTGTGCAATGCAGAGCTTCGGTTTTTTTCCTTAACTCTATGTTCAGTGTTGTGTAGTACTAACACAGTGGCTCACAGGGAGAGGCAACCCAGCTTAAACCGCCACTGGGAAAGATGATTTTGGTAGCTGCATTTTAGAGAGACAGGGGCAGGAGGCAAAGCTGTGGGGCAGGAAAGCTTCAAAGGTGGAGTCCTCACTAGCCAAGCTTGGAGAGGGCTAGGGGGAGGCAGCCTTCCCAGGGCAGGGGCCAGGTGGGCAGAAGTTTGCAGTGCTGCTATGCATACTGCCTCTGTCCTGACAATGAAAGGCCATATTGTACCATCAGACTGTCATACACTTTAACTGAGTTCTGCCTAAGACGCCTATGACCTTAAGTATGCAGAACCTATCCAGGGCTGCCAACCCAGTGCCAAATGCTTTTTCTACGTTCGCTTTAAAAACAAAATCACACTGTAAGTGTTGCTGATTCCTCATGGGTGTTTGTTTTCCTTCTCCCTAGGGGTTCTCATTTTGTGCCAACATGGCCGAATACATCTCCCACCCCTCCTCCACCTGGAACCTGGGCACTCAGCCCCCTCACACCTCCACCCTTTACCCTTTGGAGCCCATGGATCTGGGAGTTTCTGAGCAGCAGACACCTCTGGAGGAGACTCCATCATCCCCAGAGCTGGGTAACGACGAGGATTTCAACTCTCCACCGGACCCTGATGTACCCTATCCAGACCTGGCACCCGTGGTATTCTTCTGCTTGAAACAGACCACCAGCCCCCGGAACTGGTGCATCAAAATCGTGTGCAATCCATATCCTTTCAGAGCTGCCTGCTGCCCCTCCTAATCTTTTTGCTCTCTTCTACCCCATGCCTCCCTCTGCTCTCGCGGGGTGCCTGACAGGTAAGAGATGAGGTTTATTACATATTTAACGAATCACTTTGTTCTTCACTCGCATTTAAACAGTGCTTCAGCTGTTGTAATGTGTGATCAAAGGGAACTGCTTTTGAAAGAGGGAACTTGAGAGAGCTGCTGTCAGCCAGAATCCCAGTGAGAATGATGGGTGCAGGGAGAGGAGAGGGGACAGGCCATTTAAAATGTATTTCTCTGCTTATACATTACTGAGTCAACAGCAGTGTGATGTTTTGAAGACTCTGGGAGTGGAGAAGGAGTAACTGCAGGTCAGAAAATCAGAAGTTTATATCACTGAGGGATGTTTATCCCTCTGACAATACTATACATGCTATAAATTCATCCTCTCCTTGGGGATGGATCTTCAGGTCTCAGTTGTAGGGCTGCCAGAATGACCCTTTGCATTTCTGACAAGTGAGCATTATTGCTCTGGAGACATTTTCTTGAGGTTCCTGACTGGGACCAAAGAAGATCCTGGTCCAGATAAAGTTTGCCATCCAGGTTTGACTTTGAATCTGATGCATCCTGGAACAGGTCTTAAATTTTTAGTGTGGGCCTAGTGAATACCCCTGCAATCAGACCTCCTTTAGAGGTGAATATCTAGGACAATTGTAGCAAAATTGTTCCACCCTTAAACCTGCTTCATCCAGGATCAAAATTAGGATAGTTTGACTCACTTGTGTTACCAGAAGCTTATACAGACACAGCAGTTACAGCAGAACTGCTTCTGTTTGTTCCTGAGCAGCTCTCTCCCCCATTTTGCACCTTCTACAAATGCATGTTTGTCCATACCTCAAGTAATTATTTCCCACAGTTTTGTGTAGTTATAAGACCTCTTGAAAATAATTTCCATCCCTGGCTTCCCCTGGCTTTCCATGTGAGCACAATGTAAAAAAGGGGGCTGGGGAAGGTTCAAAAGCAGGAACCCTAAAAGGTGCAAGAACTGGAAGAAATGAAGCAGCCTACAAAAGACTGATCTAAAGTTTTATTCAAACCTTTATCTGGCCAGAAATCGTGTATGTGTGAACTGCGTCTCTAAGATTTCCAAAGGTTCCTTGGTTTCTGGTGGGGAAAGGAAATAGCCATAAGATTTGTTCTTATGGTTATTTGGTGACTTGGGTTTCAGGTTAACATGGGAAGTTCTAGCACTCGGCAGAAACTTACAAACTGTGATGGAGGTTGTTCAGCCTCATGAAGTCTCTAGATCAGGGATAGGCAACATTTTTTGGCTGGAGTGCCAAAAAGCCCACAATGTCTACCTTGGAAGGTGCCGGAGTGCCTGCATTTAGAAAAACAAAACTGGGGGGTGGTACATAGCAGGACGCACTGCATGTTAGTGTTATAAGGACACTCTCTCTCTCTCTCTCTCTCTCTCTCTCTCTATAATTAAACTATTGTTGTATGTAAAATAAATAGGGTTTTTAAAATATTTAAGAAGCTTCATTTAAAATTAAATTAAAATGCAGATCCTACCAGTTTGGCGGCCATTGGTGGCACCAGGCTGGGGCTGGGGCCTGTGCAGGGCTGAAGCCGGTGGCAGTGCTTGGCTGTACCTGGGGCCACTGGTTGTGCTGGGATGGGGCTGGGGCCAGTGGTGGTGACAGGCTGGGGCTGGGGCCCAAGCAGGGTTGAGACTGGCAGCGATGCCTGGCTGGGGCTGGCAGTGGTACCCAGCTGCACCAGGGGCTGTTGGCAGTGCCAGGATGGGGCTGGGGCCAGCGGTGGTGCTGGGCTGGGGCCTGAGCAGGGCTGAGTCTGGTGGCAGCGTCCAGCTGCAGCTGGGGCCATCAGCAGTGCTGGGATGGGGCTGGGGCCCACACACAGCTGAGGCTGGCAGCACCACCC